ATCTAGTGTTCCATCTCGAGCCGTTGGGGATTTTTGCATTGGTAGTTGCTGATGGGCCACATGCCATTGTAGGCAGTCCCATCATTCCAGCCTCTCCATGAATTTATCAAGCTCAGTCTTGAAGCCAGTTAGGTTTTTCACCCCCTCCGCTCCCCTTGGAAGGCTGTTCCAGAACTTCACTCCTCTGATGGTTACAAACCTTCACCTAATTTCAAGCCTAAACTTGTTGATGGCCAGTTTATATGTATTTGTTCTTGTGTCCACATTGGCACTTAACTTAAATAACTCCTCTCCCTCCCATGTATTTATCCCTCCGATGTATTTATAGAGAGCAATCATATCTCCCCGTCTTTTGGTTACGCTAAACGAGCCAAGCTCGTTGAGTCTCCTTTCAGAAGGTAGGTTTCCAATTCCTCAGATCATCCTAATAGCCCTTCTCTGTACCTGTTTGAATTCATCTTTCTTTGAATTCAACATTGACTAGAACAGCACACAGTACTCCAGATGAGGTCTCACCAATGCCTTGGATAATGGTACTAACGCTTCCCTGTCTCTACTAGAAATACCTCGCCTGCTACATCCTAGGACTGCATTAGCCCTTTTCGCGGCCGCATCACATTGACGGCTCATAGTCATCCTGTGATCAATCAATGCACCAAGGGCTTTCTCCTCCTCTGCATGTGATAGGCAGCGTGGGGGTGATCTGGGGTTTTCGGCACATTGCCAGAAGCATAGCAACTTTCAGGGCCCTGAGAGGCCACATCAGCTGCTCACACGCTCCATTCTGCCAGCACCAGGCTCTGGTGCAGAGTAATGGGTCAGTAGAGTCATCTGTCCAGCACTCAAAATGACAGAAATACGTGACTTGGATTCCACCATCAGGAGCAACAGGGAAAGGGGGTGATCTTGTCCCAGCTCGAGGCAAATGCAGCCCTCAGTCTCAGTGCCGCACGGCTTTCCTTGCCCTCGCACGTGGGCTGGAATCACAGACAGGGTGAGTGCGAGGAGTTTCCAGAGCAGCAGGAGTGAATTCCTTTTGTGTGTGCGTGTGTGCACATGCGTGTGTGCGTGTGCAAGTGCATGCGCCCTTCCTTACATTGCACAAAGGTTTCTCAAGGTCAGAGCCCCTAAGCAGCCTGGCCCTCTGGAGCCCACCAATCACTGATCTCCCGGGCTTCCACTTCCTGCTGGTATCACGATCATTGCTGGTGCCAGGGGGTCTGCTGTTTAGCACACAGTCACCGGGAGGGGAGAAGGGACTTGGGATAATATTACTCCAGCCAGGTTGGAATTAAGGACCGCAGGTGTCCCACTGTCATTCCAGGCGAGACGGAAACACTCACAGGATATCACTAGCCCTTCCAGTTAGAGCAGCTCTCTGCATGCTCCGGTGCTGGAGTGCCTTGCCGAGGCACGAGAGATGGGTGTCTCCGTGCACACACTCACAAGCATGCACATCCCCCTGGTGCCCCCTGTGTTTTCGGTCAGGTTCAGCTCCAGCAGGAGGGCTCACTGGAACAAGCCAGCCTTGGCCCACTCTGCTCCTCGGCCACTGTGGCTTTCCTGAGGCTACACAACCAGCTGTTCTCTCCTCCCAGTGGTGGGTGCTGCTCCTGTGAGCTGCTGGCTTTGTGAGTCTCCTGTGTCTCCTGGTGCACGTACCATCCTCAGAGGTAACAGTGGATTCTGTGCCCCTCACACCACTTGAATTGGCTGTTGCGATACTGATGCAATGAGACACACAAGACCTCTATTGCAGAGAGGGTTTCCCTGCTCTGGAAAAATCACTTCAATT